ATTAAAAAATGAACTTAATTTAGATCAAATACCTAATATAAAACTTGGTGGTGTGGTGATGGTGTACCTTGGAGTTGGTTATGACTCATAGCCACCTTGTACAAGGTTCCCATAAATCTTTATGGGAGCAGAACGCCTCATCTTTCTCCCGCGGAATGGCTGGTAGTTTCAAACTGTTGACTTTGTGGTTCGCAGGCCGATTCATAAAATTTGGGACTATAAAAATCATCACCAGAAAATAGGGACGAATTTAAGAACCCTAATACATGGCATAGGAGTCCAGACTGCAAAGTCGTTTGAACTGCAAGGTCAGCGGTTCAAGCTCACCAGCTGCTCCTCGGAAACCCATACAGGGTCACAATGGGTCGGAACTGACTTGACGGCACTTCACAACAACAACAACAATACATGGCATAAGGAGCTCTGGTAGCATAGTGGTTATGAATTGGGCTGCGAACCGCAAGGCCAGCAGTTTGAAACTACCAGCTGTTCCATGGGAGAAAGATGAGGCTTTCTGCTCCTGTAAAGATTTACAGCCTCGGAAACCCTGTACAGGGTTGCTATGAGTCAGAACCGACTCCGCAGCACATAACAACAACAACAACAATACATAGCATAAACACATAGATCAAACAAAACTGAAAACACAAATAGCAGAAGACAGACTAGATGACTGGTATTTCCTAGGAACTAGACATTAGTGTGCATTACTAGATTTCACCAAAAGAATAAAAAGAGAACCAGAGACTATGGAAAGGTTTAGGTAATGACTTATTGTACAAAGGACTAATACCTAAAATTTAGAGACAATTTCAATACTACATTAAGAAAAAGGCAAATAAGCCAATTAAGAAAAAGGCAAATAAGCCAAGGACATGAACAGACTTCACCAAAGAATACAATCAGTTGGTCAACAAACATATGAAGAAATATTTAACCAAACCCAGTCTATTGCCACTGATTAAATTTCAACTCATACTGACCCTATAAAGATTTTCTGAGACTGTAAATCTTTATGGGTGCAGACAGCCTCATCATTAGTCACATTGCAAATCAAATAAAAAGTACAATGAGATATCATCTGGTCCTAGCACTAATACTGAAATTAAAAAAACAAACAGAAAACAATAAATGCTGGCAAGTATGTGGAGAGCATGGGACCCTCATCACCCTGCTGGTGGGACTGTAAAATGGTGCAATCACTGTGGAAAGCAATACGGTGCTTTATCAGAGGATATTTATTCCTGAGTAGTTACCTTTGTTGCAATATAGTCATGATTGTAATGAAACATATAGGGGACAAAGTTATGAAAACTGTTTAGACACTAGTGGGGTTTTTTTTTTTTAAGCTTTTATTGTGAATTTTGTGATCGCTTACATGGGAGAACATCAGCTGTGCACTTATCCTATCATATTTCATTTCATTGCAATGATTACAGTCCCTTCCATGCATCATTATTCAACAGTATTTGCTTCTATTCCCTCTGGGTTGTTTTTTTGTTTTTTGTTTTTTGCTTTTTTAGAGTGTACATCAAAACACTCAAGAATATACAATAATTCAAATACCCAAAGGTCACACCCTGCAAGCCTACACAAATGGGTTCTTAAAAACTTGTGAGCTAACACCTAACAGGCAACTATTGGTATCTTCCTGTCTGGAGGAAAGAAGAGTGACAAAAATTACACATGGAAGCCATTATTCCAATGGACTAATGGGCCACATGAACATCAGTCTCCACAACCCTGGAGACCAGAAGAACTAGATGGTGCCCAGCGACCCCTACCAACTGCTCCAAAAGGTATCATAATAGAATGTCCTAGAGAGAGTGGGAAAAAATGTGGAAAAAAATTCAGTATCATAATAAAGTTCAGGCTTTATTATGGTCGAATAGAGACTGGTAAAAACTCTGAGAGTATGACACTTATCCACCCTTCAGTTCTGGAGACGAACTCACCCTGGTGACTCAGTTTTTAGCCAAACAATAGACAATTGCTGTTATGTTTCAACCCGTTGTTGCTGCCACATGTTAATCCATCTTGTAGTGGGTCTTCCTCTTTTTCACTGGCCCTCGTTTTTCAAAACATGAAATTCTTCTCTGGGGGCCCTCCTGATAAAGTGTCCAAAGTATACAAAAATATATTGCAATCCATAGTCTAAGGAATATTCTGGCTGTACTTTTTCTTAGACAGATTTCTTTGTTCTTCTGGTAGTCCAGGGTATTTTCAATATTCTTCACCAACACCATAATTCAAATGCATCAATTTTTATAAGGTCTTCCTTATTCTTTGTCCAATTTTCACATGCATATGAGATGATTCAAAACACCACTACTTGAATCAGCCACACCTTAGTCCTCAAATGGACATCTTTACTGTTAAACACTTTAAAGAGATCTTTTGCAGCAGATAATGTTGTTTGCACTAACATTGCTTCCGTTAATATTGATTATGAATCCAAGCAAATTGAAGTCTTTGACAGCACCAATCTTTTTCTCCATTTATCATGATGTTATTTATCTGTCTAGCTGTTAGGATTTTCATTTATTTACGTTGACGTGTAATCCATACTGAAGGTATAGTTGCTGATCTTCAGAATTATTTCAAGTCTTCTTTCTCACCCAGCAAGGTTGTGTCATCTGTTTATTGCAGGTTGTTAATGACACTTCCTTCAGTCCTGATGCCACATTATTTTTCATATAATCTAGCTTCTTGGATTATTTTATCAGCATACAGATAAAATAAGTATGGTGAAGGAACACAACCCTGGCGCACACCTTTTGTGATTTTAAACCATCCGGTATCCCCTCGTTCTGTTAGAACAACTGCCACTTGATCTATGCACAGGTTCCTCCTGAGCACAGGTAAGTGTTCTGAAATACCATTCTTAACAATGTTGTCCATAGTTTGTTTTATCCACACAGTCAAATGCCTTTGCATAATCAATAAAACACAAGCAAATATCTTTCTGGTATTCTCTGCTTTCATCCAAGATCCATCTGATATCAACAGTGATATCCCTTGTTCCAAGTTCTCTTCTGAATCAAGGTTGAATTTCTGGCAGCCACTTGTCAATATATTGCTACAGTCATTTTTGAATTATCTTCAGTTAAACTTTACTTGCATATGATATTAATGATATATTTCAGTGATGGCCACATTGAAATGGACACAAATATAGATCTCTTCCTATTGATTATCCAGGTAGCTATCTCCCAAATTCCTTGACATAGACAGACAAGTGATCGCCTCCAGTGCTGCATCAGTTTGTTGAAACATTTCAATATGTGTTCTGTCTATTCCTGGAGTCTTGTTTTTGCTAATGCCTTCCATGCTTCTTGGGCTTCTTCCTACAATACCCTTAGTTCTTCATCATATGGTACATCTTGAAATTATTGCTTATTGACCAATTCTTTTTGGTAAGTGGCTCTGTGTATTCCTTTCATGTTTTTTTGCGGTTTCAGCTTCACACAATATTTGGCCATAGACTCTTTCAGTATTGCAACACGACCTTGAATTTTTTCAGTTCTTTCAGCTTGAGAATCACCGAGCTTATTCTTCCCTCTTTGGTTTTCTAACTACAGGTCTTTGTAGATTTCATTATCGTATGGAATCTTCTCAAGCAGCCTTTTGAAATTTTCTGTTCAACTCTTTTACGTCACCATTTCTTCTAGTCACTTTAGCTCCTTTAAGTTTAAGAGTATGTTTCAGAGTTTCTGGTTTTACGGCTTTAGAGAAAATAAAGAATAAAGACCTTCATCTTTGTATCAGAGATTAGGATACATACAATGCTGCCTTTAGGCCATGGCCTTATTGGACTACAAATGCAAAAAGGTCTGGTTTTAAAATAATATGCTCTGTCTTCTGCATTCTATCTATTTTTAAGAATGTTGTAAACATACTGAACAGGGAAGTAGAGGAAACCCTGATGTCATCTCTAGATTAGAGAAGTGCAATGTGGTGGGTACATGCAATGAAACGTTAACTGTCTGATGCCTGATAACACAGTGGTATCTTGAAAACCTAATATCCAGTGGAGAATGTAAGAAATAAAACAAGAATCAAAACATCATCTATGAATGTAAAAATACATGTGAGTAACATTGCTCTTCATAACATAAGAATATATATATATAGCCAAAGACATATTTTTTAGATGTCTCTACAGATTGTAAGGGAGTAAGAATGAGAATTAGAGTGAAGTATAGAATTAAATCAAACAAAAGAAGGACCCTGAAAAGATCAATGCAGAGATACAGGATTAATTTGTGTTTTTTCTGGTCATAAAAAAAGAAGACAAAAGTGGGTTGGGGCATATGTGATAAAGCATTTCTGCAAATCTGAAAATAACTAAATGCAGTGAAAGACATATAATAATCACCAAAAAGCAAGTGTTTAAGTTTTACATTTATTATGATTCATGGCAAACAAAAAACTCTACAAATATTATGTATAGTTAATTCATGCATATCATAAAGTACATCTTTGGAGGCATCAGCTACATGGCTCAAAGTGAAATCAGGCATGTTGGAATTAGCAAGAAGGGTAGGGTGTATTCCACAATACACAAGATTCTCCAATACAAAAAAAAATGCTACAATGTAATATTTGAGGATATTATCAAAAGTATTACTTGTTATATAATTATAGAGCAGGAATCCAGTATTAATATTTGCATTCTAGGCTAATATATACTTTTGGTACTCCTTATCATCAAGCTTGAATGTTCTAGTAAGTTATCTATCTGTATACTAAAAGTATACTAAAAGTCCAACATGAACTTATATCACTGAGGCAACAGTTGCCCTAACAGTCACTGGCAAAAAATACAAACAGAGACAAAAGAGATTGTTTACATTTATTTACCATGAAAAGAACCATGATTTCACAGGCAATGAAATCACAATTAGAATTTTGCCTCTTTCTCACTTTTTCCAAGTTGTAAATTGAACTCAGTAAGACATGCTAATCACCCATAGGAAGCTCCACTGAAGGTAGGGTAACTAATGATAAGCTCCCTGTGTCTTTACCGCTTTCAACACTGAATTCCATTTGCTATTCTTTTGTTCTAGCTGCTCTTTTTTAAACTTGTCTTGATAAGAAGTGTGGTCATCTTCGTCCTCCGTCTCTGAGATGATCTCCATCTTCTGAATGATAAGTTTAATAAGCTCATGCTGTTTTTCCAGAAGAGAAGTGAGATCTTTTAGCCTAAAGGACATACATATTTCATGAATTAATTTTCAATTATATTTTTAGCCCTTTAGAGAATAGGAAGGTCTAAGAACAAGAAGTATTCTGTAGCAGATTTACTGTGCTCAATTTTTATATCCTCATAGTAAACTGAACCTTTATAAAGAGTACATACATATTTTTGAAGTTTGCAAAAATAAAGTATCAAAGAATTCCAGAACTATGTAGATCCCTAAAAATCTTCAAGGCTAAAGAAAATTTAAGCTATTTTCCCCAAGATAATACTAATGTTTCATGGTTATTTTACTTTTGTTCCCATTTTAAAGATTAAGAAACCATTGCACAGATTGGATAAGTTACTTGCTCAGAATCACAGTTAGAAAATGAATAGGGCTTTCATCCTAGGTAAACTAGCCCCCAAATCTACATGATTAAAAACTGCATACTATAGATCTTCTCCAGTGATTCTCAAAAGCCTTCAAAGATTTTATGTGTAGTGTCTGAGTTCAGGAGGTTCATAAAAATACATTTTAGATTCAATCTCAAAGCCAAACCAACTGCCATTAAGTGATTTTTGACTCATAATGGTATATACTGTCCCCAATATAAAGGAAATCAGCATTCTAATTCCATTAACTTATTTCTTAGAAGGCAAAGTGATGAATCAGCAGCAGTAAATACAATTTTAGGTCTACAAAATTAATATGTTGTTTTGTTGTTGTTAACTGCCTTTGAGTCAGTCCCTGAATCATGATAACCCCATGCACATGAGATTGTACTGTTGTGATCCATAGGACTTTTACTGGCTGATTTTCAAAAAGTAAATCATCAGATATTTCTTCCTCATCTCTCTTAGTCTGGAAGCCCCATTGAAACCTGTTCGGCAATGTGTACACTTCCAGTGAAAGCCACATGGTGGCTGAGTTTAATGACTACATTGGGCAGGAACCAAACTCAGGTCTCCCACATGCAAGTTGACAATCCTACCACTCAGCCACCACTGTCCCCAGATGACTTAGTATATGATAAAATATATATTTATACATACATATATATATATATATATATACAATAAAAATTCATACTATGCACTTTATTTAATTTTTTTAAATTTCTAAAATACACATAAAAGGAAAAATACATACCGGTATTTTTGCTTCAATATTTCTGTTTCTAAAGATGTATCAGCATTTGGTATTTCTTGTTTTGCTTCTTGCATGGAGAAGATATATTGAAATATATACTGTGGGATAAAACATGATATATACATAAGTTGAACTCAATTCAGGACACATTTCTTGAATATGTGCTACAGCTCATCCATTATACCAGAGGCACTAACATAAATAGTCTTAAGACACACTCTTGACCCTCAAGGAGCTCAAAGTCTGTTGCAACAAATGAAAATGTAAAGAATTCTAAAATCAAAGGCATATATATATTACAACAGAAGAAAATACAAGCTTTAGAAGTAATAGAGAAGGAGGAGTAAGCTGGGGCCAGAGATCACTTTTTAGTCTTTCTGGTGAGACATCCTTCATAAGTAGTATCCTTCCATAAAGGATTATTTGCTAACCCTTGAAAACTGTGCTGCATCATTACACAATGCCACAGAATCAACCAACAAAATTTCACATGGGAAAATTTCTGAAAACTGGTCTTATGAATTTTTGCTTTAATTCTGTATATTTTAAAACATAGATAAGTACTCTGGTGGTGCAGTGGTTAAAATACTCAACTACTAACCAAAGGTCAACAGTTCAAACCCACCAGTTGCTCCATGTGAGAAAAATGGCTGTCTGCTTCCATAAAGATATACAGCCTTGGAAACCCTATGTGGCAGTTCTACTCTGTATTACTGGTTTACTATGAGTTGGTAGGGTGGAGGGTCAGAGAAAAAGAGGAAGACCCCCAGTGAGATGGATTGGCAAAGTGGCAGCATCAGTGGACTCAAGCGTGGCAATAATAATGAGGTTGGCTCAGGATCGGGCAGTGTTTCGTTCTGCTGTGTATAAGGTCACTATGAGTCAGGACCAGCTTGATGGCACTTAACAACAACAACGATGAATTGAAATTGAGCAGACACGAGAGGTTCAAGGTCAGATATGAAATGACCAGTAATTGGGTAATTCTAGGAGTCCAGTCATGGTGTGGCCCTGTAGAATAAGCACTGTACTGATAACAGCAAAGTGGGTGGTTCAACTCTACCAGCTGTTCATGGAAACTCTATATAGGATTGCTATGACTTGGAATGGACTCTATGGAAAACAACAAGAAGCAGTCGAGGCAAGTGAACGTGAACATTTGCACAGCTCAACTTTGGAGGTGAAATAGAGAAAACATGGGTGGTGGTGGTTTTGTGCCATGGCGTTGGTTCCAATTCATAGCGACCCTGTACAGGGTTTTCCGAGGCTGTAAATCTTTACAGCAGCAGAAAGCCTCATCTTTCTCCCACAGAACAGCTGGTAGTTTGGAACTGCTTACTCTGTGGTTAGCAGCCCAATTGTAACCACTTGAATGGAAATGAGGAGAGAGTAGGAGGGAAGTAGAGTAGCTGTCAGCAAGACTCCTTGGGGGCTGGACACATAAGCAAATGAATGGCGCTGATATTAATTGAGATTAAAAAAAACTTCAAAGGACCAGGATTCTTTCTCTCTTTTCCCATAGCAGATGTAGTTGGGGGTGAAGGGTGAAGATCATGAGTCTGATTTGGAATATGCTGACTGAGGTAACTGTGAGACATTACAAGAAACCCTGGTGGCACTGTAGGGTAGGTATTGGGTTGCTAACTGAAAGGTCAGCTGTTCAAACACAGTTTCTGAGCAAGAGAAAGATCAGACTGTTTCTGTAAAGATTTAGTCTCAGAAACCCTATATATGGTCAGTTGTTATGAGGTGGAATGACTCAGTGGCAGTGGGGTCAGGTTTGGGTTTGGCTTGAGGCAGACAAAGGAAATGTCAAGGGGACAGTTGGATCTATGAATCTGGGATTCAAAGGAGAGCTCATTGCTAAGCATTCTATGGTTGGGTAATCATTTCAACCATGAACATAAGTGAAATCAGAGAGGGTTGGAGTCTGAAATTAGAAGAAAGTCTAGTCTGACACTAAGATTGACTTTACCATTTTAGAGGTGAATTAACCAATACCAAACTCAGAAAGAACACTCATAAAGACAGAGGCAAACCCAGGCATGGCTGGAACTAGCATCCAGTTCTTCTGACTTTTAAGCATAAAACCTTTTCCATTATCATGTAATGGCCTCTGCTTAGTCTTTGATTACTTTGTAGAGTTCCTATTATATATATATATATATTCATGCACAAAAATGTGAGTTATGTATGACAAGGAAAAACAAAGCATACCTATTGTATATTAAAAAAAGGCACATGGCACAGCTAAGCCACCCACCCATCTATTCTCTCAAGACGTGGTACATATTCAACAAAAACGCTACTTATGAGCCACCTGGAAGAAGAGAGTAAACATCTCCTTCCCCACTGCCCATCACCTTCATCTCCCCAATTTCTTTTTCATAAGCAGAGCAGATGCAAAGACTATAAAAGGGTAGCCTTAAGAACAGCACAAAATGAATGCCAAGGAGTATCACATGACTTATGGAGTTCTTTACTACATGTACTTACTATCACTCCCCCATGGTATCTGGGTCTGTTGGGATACACAATGATGCTCTGCCGATCCACTTTGCGGAGGAAGCAGAGTGGCAGCTTCTTCTCTAAGCTGGTATGAAGTTTCACCTACAATTCATCGTGGGTTTATGGATAGGAATCATTAGTTAGCATCTGGATTTCTCACACTGCACAGACTAATCATTAATACAACTCAATGAAACCTGACACCTGGGTCCTGAATTATGTCCAAGCAGGTGAGCTGGCCGGGTCTCTTGAGTTCTAGCCAGAGTCAACTGCCCCTCCCTCTCACCTCATCCACTGACAAGGCAAGGGCAGCGATCTGCAGCAATTTCTTTCAAGGAGAAATTTGATTTATGTCAGCAGATAGTTATTGTGCAGGGCACTGGGATAGACACTGGGGTACAAAGAAGAAAAAAACTTGGTCCATACTCTAAGATGCCACGGTACTTAGCAACAATACTCTAGGACAGTTACAATACTGGGACATCGGAGTGGCCTGAATTGATACCTTTAACATGAGAGAAGCTAGGGAAATACAAAGGTAATCATTAAAAGTATCAGAGCTAGCCCAATTAAGAGAATTTTAGACATCGTTGTTTTTGTTAAGTGCCATGGACTTGGTTTTGACTCATAGTGATCCTGTATAGGGTTTTTAAGGAGCAGGAGGTTAGTTTGAACTACTGATCTAGTGGTTCACAGTCCAGTGCTGATACCACAGAGCCATACCAAGTCAAAGGTCTTGTGCAGCAGATTTACCTAATGCAATATGCCATTTGATTGTTGATAGTTGTTCCAAGAAGAATGAAGTCCTTGACAATTTCAATCTTTTCTCCGTTGATAAGAATGTTGTTTATTGGTCCAGTGGTGAGGATTTTTGTTTTCTTGACATTGAGATGTAATCCATACTGAAGGCTGTGCTCTTTGGTCTTCATCAGTAAATGTTTTAAGTCTTCTTTACTTTCAGCAAGCAAGGTTGTATCATCTGCATATCGCAGGTTGTTAATGAGTCTTCCTCCAGTCCTGATGCCATGTTTTTCTTCATAGAACCCAGCTTTTCAGATTATTTGCTCAGCATGCAGGTTGAATAAGTATGGTGACAGAATACAACCCTGTCACACACTTTTCTTAATTTTAAACCATTCAGTGTTCCCATGTTCTGATCGTACAAATGCCTCTTGGTCCATGTACAGATTCATCATGAGGACAATTAATCCTAGGCATTAGTGAGTTAAAATAAACTGGTATCGGCCATATTGAATCAGACAATCATATGGTTTACTATTTTGGAAATGATAAATTAAAGAGGAATGGCATCATATTCATTGTCAAAAAGAACATTTCAAGATCTATCTTGGAGCACTGTGCTGTCTTGATAAGATAATATCCATACTCCTATAAGGAAGACCAATTCATACCACAATAATTTAGTCACCATCCACTAAAGTCACTGATACTAAAACTGACGAATTTTACCAACTTCTTCAGTTTGAAATTGAACAAACATCTAATCCAAATATATTGATAGTTACTGGTTATTGGAATGCAAAATTTGGAAATAAAGAGGAAGTATCAGTAGTTGGAAGGACCTCTGGTAGCATAGGGGTTACAAATCGGGCTGTGAGCCGCAAGGTCAGCAGTTCAAAACTACCAGCTGGTCTGCAGAAGAAAGATGAGGCTTTCTGCTCCCATAAAGATTTATAGCCTCAGAAACCCTGTACAGGGTTGCTATGAGTCAGAACCGACTCCACAGCACATAACAACAACAGGAGTTGGAAAATATGGCCTTGGTGATAGAAATGATGCTGGAGATAGCATGATGGAATTTGCAAAACCAATGACCTAATTAATTGCAAACACCTTTTTTCAACAACATAAAAGGTGACTGTGTATCTGGACCTCACTAGGTGGAATACACAGGAATCAAATTGATTACATTTGTGGGAAGAGACAGTGGAGAAATTCAATATCCTCAGCCAAAACAAGGTCTGGGGCCAACTGTGGAACAGATCATCAATTGCTCATATGTAATTCCAGGGTAAAGCTGAAGGCTATTAAAGCAAATCCACGAGAGCCAAAATATGTCCTTGAGTATATCCCACCTGAATTTAAAGACCATATCAAGAACACATTTGATGCATCAGACGCTAATGACTGAAGACCAAAAGAAAAGAAGAAAAGACCAAAGTGGATGTCAGAAGAGACTGAAACTTGTTCTTGAACATAGAGAAGCTAAAACAACTAGAAGAAATGATTTAAAAAAGCTGGATAAAAAGTTCAAAGAGCACCTCCATAAGATAAAGTCAAATATAATGAAATTCGGAAAGACCTGGAGTTAGAAAACCAAATGGGAAAATACACTCAGCATTTTTCAAGGTGAAAGAATTAAAAAAAATTCAAGCCTCTTGTAGAAATATTAAAGGATTCTATGGAAATACGTTTAATGATACTGGAAATATCAAAAGAAGGTGGAAGGAATACACAGAGTATATTAAAAATTATTGGTAGATGATCAGTCATTTTAAGAGGCACCATAGGATCAAGAACTGATGGTACTGAAGTAAGAAGTCCAAGTAGCACTGATGGTATTGGCTAAAAACAAGACTCCAGGACTGGCTGGAATATTACTTGAAAGGTTTCAACAACTGATGTAGAAGTAGAGGCACTCACACATGTGCTACCTGGCCATCTGACTGATAGAGATCTGTATTTGTGCTCTTTCCAAAGAAAGGTAACCCAACAGAATGTCGAAATGATTGACAGGTAGCTGCCAGAAATTCAAGGTGGATTCAGAAGATGACTTGAGACATTGCTTATGTCATATTGATCTTGGTTAAAGCAGAGAATACCAGAAAGATGTTTACTTGTCCTTTATGGACTATGCAAAGTCATTCGACTATGTGGATCACAACAAATTATGGATAACATTGTTAAGAATGGATATTCTAGAACAGTTAATTGTGCTTATGGGGAACCTGTACACAGACCAAAACACAGTTGCTAGAGCAAAACATGGGGATACTGAATGGTTTAGAATCAGGAAAGGTGTGTGCCAGGGTTGTATCCGTTCACCAAATGTATTCAATCTTAATGCCGAACAAATAATTTGAGAAGCTGTATTACATGAAGAAGAGTGTGGCATCAGGATTGGAGGAAGACTCATTAACAACCTGCGATATGCAAACAATATAACCTTGCTTACTGAAAGCAAAGAGGACTTGAAATACTCACTGATGAAGATTAAAGACTATGGCATTCAGTATTAAATCCCCTCAGTTTAAAGAAAACAAAATCCTCAAAACTGTACCAATAAGATATATCACGATAAATGAAGAAAATATTGAAGTTGTGAAAGATTTTAATTTGTTTGGTTTCACAATCAATGCTCATGAAGAAATCAAATGACACATTTCATTAGGCAAATCTGTTGCCAAAGGCTTCTTTTAAATGTTCAAATGTAAAGATGTAGGTTTGAATACTAGGGTGCATCTGACCCAAGCCATGGTATTTTTAGTCACCTCATATGTATGTGATAGTTGTACAATGAATAAGGAAGACCTTAGAAGAATTGATGCATTTAAATTATTTATGGTGTTTTCAGAAGAATATTAAAATTACCATGGACTGTCAGAACAAACAAATCTGTCTCAAGAAAAGTGCAGCCAGAATGCATCTCGGAAGAGAGGATGGTGAGAATTTGGACATATTACCAGAAGGGACCAATCCCTGGAAAAATACATCATATTTGGGAAGATGGAGGATAATTAAAATATCCACAACAAGATGGATTGACAGAGTATCAGCAACGATTGATCAAACATAATACAGTGGTTCAAACAGAACAAGTGTGAGGATGGCTCTGGACTTGGCAGTGTTTCATTCTGTTGTGCACAGGGTCACTGTGAGTCAGACATAATTAGATGGCACCAACCGACAAAATAGAAATTACACATTTAATATTTTTAAAATTTATTTGTTCTTCTTCCCTCTACTTTCTGCCTTTTCTAACTAAATCAGAAATTAAAGCTCATGATTATTATCCTTTTTTTAAATATAAAATTTTCTTTTGCTAGTTGTTTAAGATATTTACACTTAATTCATTATTCACAAAGTTTGAGTGTTTAATTGGTTTAAGTATTTACTACAATCACTTATATACAAATTCCCTATAGTTCTTAACTTTGATTCATTTCTTATTTGGGTACTGTGGATTTTAGTAGATTATTTTTAGAGATTAAATGAGTTTTAAAATAATACATTTACCTTCACACATGAATAATAACTGTACTAGCATATAATCTTTGAATTGTAACAAATTACCTGTGGAAATCTTTGTCCTTTCCTCCACCATTACCTGCCCTGAACATTCCAGAGGAGAATTTTGAAGTACACAGAATCAAAATTTTTCCTTTGATTCATTTTGAGAATTTCTGCCATTTCCCCCCTTATGCCTTAAATATAAAAACTGTTGGAAAGATATGCTTATGAATGAATCCCTTTTCATGATTTTTATCTGCTATGTGGTGAGTGTTCTCAATATAAAATTTACTTATTTTTCTTATAACTTTTCCTTTTTTGCATTATTTGGGAATACTTACTAATTAAAACTTAGCCATATCTTTCCATTATGTTCCTTTCATCTCTAATTTTTTCCTGTAGCCCACATATTATTAAGTGTATCCTCCACATTGCCAACTATATTATCTGTTTTGTCAATTTTGTTTCTACTACTTGAAATTTAGAGTTTAAAGCTACTATGTTGATTGAGATTCTCTTGCTTTCTTTTTGTATGATGGGGTTTGAAAAAGGATCATGGAAAATTTTCAGTATCTTTTAACTCCATTTTTTCCATGAACTTTTTGAAATCCCCTCATATTTCATCCAATTCTCTATCTCTTCTCCTTGGTTTTTCTCTCCTTTTTAATCACAGTTCCTAAAAACAAACTATGTTTTCTTGTATTTCATTAACAATATAAAGTAGAAATTTTCTTTCCTTTACAACAAATCATTTTTAGGGTTTCTTTTTTTTTCTCTCTCCCCTTGGGTCTTTAGGGTAATATTCCTTTCCCTTTTCCATATATTTTTTTTCACAAGTTATATGTTGTTATTTACTTAAACTTGTTTAGGAAAGATCTATTCAGGCACAGTTTTTGTCAATAGATAATGTGAATGGTGTGTTGTAATTCCATTCACTCTCTACATAGGAGCTGGTAGATTTTCACTCTCAAATAGAGTCTCCAGGGAAGTTAGCAAGGAAAACTCTGAGTCCAGCCTGGCTCTGCGGGACCCTCTGAGTGTGACTGCATTGTTGTAAGGAAGCATTGAAGAATCAAATGCACACTGTTCTTTCAAATTTACTGTTCTTTCTTTAGGACATTTTTCCTAAAAAGTAACAGAGAGAGATGGATGGCTTTTGTTTATGAAATATTTATAGTTGCCAGCTGAAGCATGGTGGTTCTGTAGGATAAGCACTGGACTACTACCACAAGGTTGGTGGTTTGAGCCCACCAGTAGTTCTGTGGGAGAAAGATGAGGTTTTCTACTCCTATAAAGATTTACATCCTCGGAAACCCTATGCAGCAGTGTCATTGAGAGTCTGAACCAAATCTATAGCACTTAAAAACAAAAAAAGCAACACTTGCCCCAACACTGTGCTAGATTTTGGGGGATACTGATATTGGGAAAAGTTTAAAAAAAAAAAAAAAAGTGAACTCCCAGTCCTCAAAACACTCCTGTCTCTGAGGAATTTCAAGTTTATATGGTGAATGCATTCCCTTGCAAGCACGGATTCCAGGGATCTTCCTGTCTCCACACAACTTTAAGCTGATTTTGTGTGAAATGCATTACTATGTGTCTCCTTCCTTAGGCCCAGGGTTCTGCTGCATCCTGAGAAACTTTGGCTTTTGAATGGATACAGACAGTTGCTCCAAAACCAACTCATGGCAAATAAGAGAATGGAGTCTTGATTTTCTGGACAATAGTGTTCTTTATTCAGAACAGGGAATAAATAATATGAAGGTACTTGCTTTAGCTGCTTTCTTTGCAGACCTCTGTGCTATTTTGTTTCGGGGAGCAGAGTAAATAGAACGTAGGGTTATGTCTTTTAAATCAATTCCACTGACACTACAGCTTAGAATATTTTCTCCCAAGACATTTTATCTAGTTCTGTTGCTCATTTTATCCTTGTTATTTATTTCCTTTGTATTTTAAAGAGTTATTAAGAAAGTTATGAGGCATTGCCCTGAGATTTACACACCCCTCCCCTTTCCTTGTCAACCACCCCTGGAGTCTACAGTTGCATCTTTGTTTCTGTAATAACCTGTCATTTGCTCTTCTTTCCTCCAGTCTTCCCCCACCAAATCAAGATAATCACAGATCATCTTAAGTACTATTTTCATTTTGTTGACATTCTTTGTAAGGGCTAATAGTAACTGTCCATTTATGATCAAAATAGACTGAAGCATTTCATCATTTACTGTTCTTTCTTTCAAAGCTAAGGTTTGTTTGTTTGTTTTTCCTTCTTTTCTTTGTTTGCTGTGTTTGCATATAACCCTCCATCATCTGGGACAAACTTATCATCATGTAACATAAGCCATGTTTCCAGTCACTGCTCTGAAGCCATGTTCCTCTGCTTCTGCCTTTGGACATTTGTGCATACTAAGTTACTTCTTTCTGGAACAGCCTTCCTGCTCTTTCAAATGCTACTCACCTGTCAATGCCCAACTCACACGCCAGGTTCCCATCTGGCATTCCTTTATTTTTGTACCTTACAATTTAAACATTGAATTCATATGATTTTATTATTTAATGTCCCAAGCTCCTTAGACTATTGCTGTTAGGTTTTTTTTTCAGTTGGTTCTGACTCAGCAATCATATATGTAACAGAATGAAATACTACTGGACCCTGTCCCGTCCTCACAATCCTTGCTATGTTGAGCCTGTTGTAGCCACTGTGTCAATCCATCCCATTGAGGGTCTTCCTCTTTTTTGTTGTCCATCTATGTTTCCTGGCATGATATTCTTCTCCACGGACTGGTCCCTCCTGATAACATGTCCAAAGTAAGTAAGATGAAGTCTCACCATCCTTGAATCTAAAAACATCTGGTTATATTTATTCTAAGTCAAATTTGTTCATGGTATATTCAAATGTATTCTCCTCCAACACCATAAATTTGAGACATCAATCAATTCTTGGTCTTTAGACTGGTGCTATATAATAACACACAGTTAATTTATAAAACATACTGTTGAAGAGCAAGAACTTTGAAGTTGGAGAAGACCTGAGTTTAAATCACAGTGGCCCCACTTATTAAGTTACTTAATCATTTCAAGCCTCTCTTTACTTATATTTAAAAATCAGGATAATAAGAGGACCTTTGTGAGTATTTATGAAAACTAAGTAAGATCATAAATATAAAATGATCAGCAGAATGCCTGGCACAAAGAAAGTTCTCCATAAATGGGCTGTTATTATTATTTTACACATGCAGTGGTTTTGAGTTGAGTTTTGATATTTCATACTCTTAATGTTTGATTGGTGTAATCACTTGTACACTAAACTTAATTGCTTACTAAAGAATCACATTGCTCTAATTCCTCTCGATTGTATAGTAAGTTATATTGTACTTTACACATACCATGTGCTAGAACATTGTTTTTATAAAATATAAATGTCTGTGTGTAAATGAATGACTAACAGAAAAGAAAGGAGTATGTTGAAGAAAAGGGTAAGAAGGAGACTATAGATCTAATTATGAATTTTTCTTTCTTTTGAATGGGCCTTTCCGCTGGTTCTGCTTTTTAAGTGCATGTATTCAACAGGTCATAATGTATTTTTGAAATATAAAAGAGTCTCATTCAGATTTGAAACTTAGACACAAAGCAGGTAAGAGCATAAAAAGTTAAGATGACAGGAAATAACCTCAAAATTCAGTAGCCAAGGGCCTACACTAAAATCTTTGACTCGAGCAAATTTCAAATGATGTCATCTCGAGAAATAAGAGAGAGAGAGCCACCAAAGGGACAAAATCTTGTGGATGTAGTTAAAACTTCATATAAAATACATTGTAGGGACTCTGTAATTCCATGGTCAGGATGAACAGCTCCTTCCAATTGCTGGGCTGTGACAAACCAGATGATGAATGTCTATGATATTCTTGTTCCAGTTCTTTGGTTGTCCACAGCAGGTATAAAAAGAGACCTACCCGGACAATTTCTCAGCCTCTCTGTGTAGATTGTTCTGGTTTAGTATTTTTAAAAATAATTTTTGGTACTTTGCTTGCAATGGGTAGACCAAAGAACACGTGACCAGACACAGTATGGTACGTCTCAGTGTTAAGAAAATACCTCTATAAAATAATTAAGTTCTCAGAAAGTCAGCTATTCTTATACCTGAACTATTTTGATGGTGCTAATTTGTATAAAGTTTGAATATAACATTCACCTGCATAGCCATCCGCTTCAATGATGCATGTTTCTGTACCTCAGCAATGTCACCAACTGCCAAACCAATCTGTAAGACAACACAGCATTTAATCACTGCCCATTCAATGATTCATCTAAAAATACACTGAAGACCTTGCTGTTTAACTTTTACAGGTAAGGGAAAGAGTAGGCATGTAATTGACTAATAATGACATCAAAATATATTATTAACACTCTTTACAGAAAACTGCAAAGCCTGTTTATTCCTTTGCAACAGTGATGTCCACATGGGTCAGGACAGTAATCTTGTTAATATGAAAACGTAAAAGATACAAAGTCATTTTAAATTCACTTCAATGTAAAATAAAAATATGTTCTGTATTTTGGAGAGGCCAGGAATAATAAGTTATCACATATAATTGGATGTCACTACACAACATCACTATGAGTTGCAATTGACTCAACGGCACTTGACAACAACAACAACACAACATAGCTAGAAAGTCCACTTTCTCCTTCAAGGGCAGAAACAAGGTTTTAGTCCTTATTCCATAAGGCCTCTTTTTAATCTTTGATCCTCCACACCCACCCACAGCATTCATACCATCCTTCTTTATATATTCTTTATAAAATTCACCACCGCATGGCATTATGCTACATACGTTTATTTTTATTATCTAACTTTATGACTAGTGCATAATCAGGGGACTGTTCTGTTTTGTTCACCATCGTTTGCCAGCATCTAGAACAGTAACTAGCATTCATAAGTTGCTTGGTAAGTACTTGCCAAGTGAATATACCACTGTGTGCTCTAATCTTGACTCTATATCTAACATAATCCAGGGACTAAAGAAATGTTAAACAAATGTATTTTGTAGTCATCCTTCTCCCCTTGGAGGAAGATTAAAGATGCTAAGAATATTTATTACATGGCCCAAATGGACAACAACCCAGAAAACACAAGGATAAATTACTTACAAGCAAATTCATGAGGACAATAGGAACGAACATTGTGAAGGTAATGAGTTGTACAAAGGATAGAACTGGGTATGTTAATTCATTCCTCAAAAAGGGCTCTAGAAACGAATCACGATAATTGATATCCCCAAGCATCATGCTGAAGGTCTGGATGATAGAAAGCAATGGATTGCTGAAGGCATCCTGAGAAAAGACCACAGTGTAAAAATGAAACACAAAATGCATACAGGAGAGTAGAATTATAAAAATTGTGTTAAAATACTTGAAATAATAATATAACTATAGCTACTTAAAAAGTAATAAAACATTTTTTAAAAGGTAGTAAAGTTACCAAAAGATCTTTTCTGTGCATGTAATAAATTATAGTATATTACACATAGACTTTCATCTAACTTGAACTTTTTGATAATGGAAAAGGTCACTTTAGTGAGACTACACTGTTTCCTAATATAAATATCAATCTAATGATATTTTACCAGGTAAAAGTAATCAACTGAAAATTAAAAGACTTTTGCAAGTGTATCATTCTGAGTTTTCTAGGTCATCAGAATTTAAGCATAAGTATGTATTTCCAGTATCCACAGCAAAACAATCAACTATTGATGTCTCACCTGTAAACTCAGAAGAACATAGAAGCTGAGTCCAAATGCCATAAGAAGGAAAATAAAAACAACTGTGGACCTCAACAAGGTTTTCATAATTACTTGCAACATAACAATGAAAATTCCACAACTTTCAAATCTAAGGAAAAAATAAAATATTTATTCATTTTTGTGGCCAATGGTATTTTATCCATTGTTATTATTTACTAAAAATAAAGTCAGGCACAGGTTTAACACATGAGACATTTGAGGTCAGTTGTTCTTAAAAAGAAGACATGAGAATTTATGAGTCATTGAGTCTTATTTTCAGACTGTTCATCAAGTTGTTAATGGTCTTCGTTTCTCCTTGTTTATTATTTTTTTAAGTGTTTTGTTGTGAATAATATGATAGTTTACATGGGAGTACATTAATTTTACATTCATTCTATCGTACATTGTATCATTGCCATGGTTACAATCCCCCCCCACACACATACAGTCTTTAGCACACAGTTACTCTCCCTCTCTGGATCTAAAGTCCCCAGCTGCTCCATCGCTCCACATCATCATCTCTGCCTCCATCTTGGGCATCACTGCTTCTCTGGGTAGGTTCCCGCTCTCGGCTCTTCTCCGTTGATGGTTCTAGGGACCTCCGCTCCTAGACTGAAAAGTTATTC